CATTGGAGGATTCAGGGTGTGCTACTGAAACCTAGAGAGAGGCTAAGTGCCCCAACGAGGCCAAACCACCGCGCAGAGTTGATGGAGAGATCAAACAAATCAAACAGGGATCAACACTAATCAACATAGGGGTCAACAACAAATCAGTCAAAAGATCATATCTATTGGAGGGTATACTCAAGATTACCAGCTCTCGGATCAAAACAATATCATACAGGGATCAGAAAAACCTCAAACAGGGACTAGGTTTTCTGCTGCCTAACCAGGGTCGCAGCAGTGTGAGTCATTGACGTTTGGGGATCTTGTTTTCTTGGTGTGTGCCGGGGGGTGTTGGGGGAGGGAGAAGCATGGTGCTAGGAGCACCCTGGCACAGTGGTTGGGGTCGCTGCAGCGCGCCCAAGTTGCAAGATATGGGGCTCCTTTCGCCCAGTGTGGTGTGCCACCGTGAAAAGGAAGCGTGCAGCACTGACTTTTCTGCCTGTTGTACAGTTGTGCGGTGCAGGTTCCTGTGCTCTGGCACTGCTGGCTCCTGTCTTTTGGCACTGCACGCAAAACCCTACAGCTTAAGCTCAGGAAGCACGCGAAAGCTCGAGCCCACCATCGGTCTGCTGCCGCATGCAGTTGTGCACAACTTATGTAGGTACGTACGTGCATACATGCAAGCATACATACGTGCATACAAAAATAGACGTACATACGTATGTACATACATGAACAATTCAGGAATACTTGATTACATACAAAGCGACAAGACCATAAAGGTGTGTACAAGTAAAGAACTCCGGGATTGAAGGCTTGGTGTAATGGCACCTGCATACTTGTCATAATTGTAGGTTTCCAGCTGCAAAAAACTTTGGCACAATACACCCGGAAAATCCCTCAAACGGAAGAAATACTTCAGAGAAAGCCGCAAGGGTGTGGATGAATTCGAGGATAGCTAGCTCGTTGCAGTCCTCGTCGTTGTCAATGCCGACCTCATTTGTCTTTGGGCTGCGGGAGTGGACCTGTGGACTTTATCTGGCAATGTCTGGCAACACGACTCCGTCAATTTGTTCTACATATGCATTCGGGCCGGAACCAAAGGGAATGTCACTACTGCCTTTCGTCTGGGGTGCCCATACTTCAAAGTCGTTTCTTGCTGGCAGCGGCTGCTTGCTTTGAGGTCTCCGGCTTCGTGTTTCTCGGTTCTGGGTGTTGAGTGTCGGGGCTTTGGCACCCGCCTAAGCATTTCGGACATGCCCGGCTCCTTTATGTAATATCCGTGGGGTTGGCGTCCGAACCCGCTGAACGCGCTTCATTAGCACAAGTAAGTCGGTTGTCGACTGACTGTGTACATACCCTCTTCACCAGCGGGACTTGTAAGAGAGCTTCGGAAGGATCTGTGCAAAGGATGTAAGAGGACTCGGAACAGATAGCTCTTGATTGCAACGACACTGGTGGTATACTCATCACAAGAAACGGCTCGGGAAGTCCGATGTGCAATGTTTATCAGCCCTGCAAATCACGGTGCCAGCTAAGACACCCAGGAAGCACAAAACTGAACCGCGACGAAAGTGCCCAGCAAGACCATGGCGACATGAAGCCATAATCCGCAGACTCTGCAATCTCAATGAACACCCGTACAGACTCTGGACTATAGGACTCTAGGATTACCACGCACCAAGATCTTCCAAGTTCGAAGCCTCCCGTGCCAGCCCCCGGCCGCTGAACACAGCATTGCAATTACGTAAGGGCTTTAAGCACGAGTGACAGCCCAAGAAGAGACGGGAACAAACGACAGCACACGAGCAAGCGCGATACCAACAAGATCCACGAAGTAGATGCAGTGGAAAAGAGGTTGCACAGTTGTGAAGATAAAACTACGGGAACCACTCATAGTATCCGAAGCTAAAGCCGCAAAGACTGAAGTCCTTGGCAGAGGCTTCAGGAAGATCCGAGAGCTTCGCAATAAAGTACAGAGATGCGTATCTCCTGGCACCACAGGATTGATGTCCCTAGATTGAGATCCGTGGTGACTGGACTGTGTTCATGTTCTAACACGTAAGTAAGTGTGTCTGTGCGTGTCGTGTGTTTGTTTGTGGGTTGTTGTTTTTTTTGTTTGTTTGTTTGTTTTTGTTTGTTTGTTTGTTTGCTTGCTTGCTTGCTTGCTTGCTTGCTTGTTTGTTTGCTTGTTGCTTGTTTGCTTGTTTGCTTGTTTGCTTGTTTGCTTGTTTGCTTGTTTGCTTGCTTGCTTGCTTGCTTGCTTGCTTGCTTGCTTGCTTGCTTGGTTGTTTGTTTGTTTGTTTGTTTGTTTGTTTGTTTGTTTGTTTGTTTGTTTGTTTGTTTGTGTGTGTGTGCGTGTGTTGCATGTCTGCGCGAATGTCCGCTGATGCTTTTTGTGTCAGGTCTGCGGTCTGCGGGGATGAAGCAAGCAGCTGAGGTATGAGCGCCACTTTCAAGGGAGAGCTGAGATGCTTCCCATGTCGTACTGTAGGATCATCAGGGAGAAGACCCGCCATATAACGGGATACATTCACTAGCAGGGAGAGGAAACATCACAATTTACACAATACAACTATGAGAGCGAACTGTATCCAAGGTGGAGATTGAGACTTTGGAGGATCCAGTTCATCTACTGGAAGCCGAGGCTTCCCACACCAGACACCAGAACAACGGGCGGCGACTTCATCACTTGGAAGGGCCAAGAACGAACCTGCCCTATATACATCAAACAAGGCGAAGCCCAAAAGCATACCACTTCCACGGCATGAGCGGCCAAGCTACATAGAGGTGTCTGAAATCAAAATATTCACAATCAAGGCTCATCTGCCGCTTTCGGCCTTCGCGGACGAAAGGTATCCAAGATAATGGCTGCCCTTTCAAGGTAGCCAAGACGCATATGAAGCTGCATCCTTGTGGGAGCTAGTGCTCATTTTTCAAGCACGTGAACTGACTCAAGGAACATACCTGCAAAGGCACCCAAATCTGTCGGAGCCTGTATACCACGCGGTAGTCCCGGTACTCCACGAAGGAGCACTGGCTCTCGCTGCGGGAGAGGCACTTACCTCATCATCAACCAAAGCAAGGGTTCAGATTCAGAATGACATGTGCTCAGATATTCGTTGTACCTACACCCCCACGATTCAAGTTTCGTTGCCTTAACTATGAGATCACGCGGAGTACCGAAGTGGCTGGCAAGCGGAGGATTAATCCACAGATATGACTCTATGCTAAGTTCATGTTCCAGGCGGAGGACTTGGGCGGAGGAGTCGAGGGGGAAGGGGGTTTTGCAGTGTTCAAGATTCAAGACCAACATGCGAGAGTACGACGAACTTTCGACCTGCAGCAGCATGAATTTGGTCGCCGCTACTCCAGCAAATTGTAGTTCGTGAGACGGTGCAGATTCGAAGAGGCGGCATGGCTAAAACCAACGGCCCCTTGTGATGCCGCTTTACTTGCATCATGTCATCAGGCTGGACTGCAAGCCTGCTACCGCAGGACAAATAGAGCTCGCCACACGGCCTGGAACTTCACATGTGAGGCACTGGAACCGGTCAAATCTGTTCCGAGAAATTATTTAACTGCTCCGCCACGCTGGCCACACAAAACGGACCTGCCGGCTGTCCGCTTCTTTGCGGCATATGCTCTTGGTACATTGAGAAGATATCTCCGTATGACGAAACTTCTGGCCCGGTGATGACCATTTCAGCATGACCATGGTTCGCAACCAACTAAGCAATGGAAAAGGTGCCTCCGACCGCAGCTTTCGGCAGTTTTAACGTTGGACAGTTGCATTTCGAGAGACGTTGCAACCGATGACGGGTCTGGAAATATAGGTACTTCGCCTCAGATGACTTTTTCCAGAGCACCGCCAGGATTCATGTTTCGTCGCACATACCTGTGAGATCATGCGCAGGACGCGGAGTAGCAAAAAGCGCATTTCACGAATGACTTTATCTTGCATGTACATTCCGGACGGAGGACTTTGGTGGAGGAGTCATGAGGAGTCTGAAGGGGAAGGGGTTTTGCGGTGTTCAAGTTTCGTCCTGCCGCAGCAAATATACATACAAACAGACACGCATACGTACATACATCCATGAAGGCGACTTTAGTTCTGAGTTCAGGTATTCTCGGCACAAATTGCGGATGCGAGAAGGTAGAAGGTACTGAGAGGGCTTTATTAGGATGCACAGCGTCTCATATTAGTAGTAATGTATAGCACACAACGTTAACTAACTTGGGGGGCTAAGTAAAGAAGACTGATGATGCGCGTGTCAGGGTACAAGAACTAGACGGCCTAGCATCCAATGGTTGGCAGACTCTCACGGTGCTTTCGCAATCGCCTTATATAGCTTTCTCGTGCACTCCGACGAGAGGTTGAGCCAGTGATGGCCGTGAATGGAGTCATTACTGCTGCGAGGGCTGGGGCCTTTTGCGGAGTCTGTGGGTGTCAGGATAATTTACAGGGCTGGAGCCTCGGCACTAAGCCGCGCCTGCTTAAACCTTCTTGTCGGAGGGAATTACTACTCGAAGCGGATTGCTTCATGAAGGCACGGCATGGCCGTGGCAACGAACTAACTCGTACGGTATTTCCTGGGAGCATGATGTGAACTAAAATGAAAATGCTGAGAAGGCTGCATCATCCAGTTCATTTCTAAACCCGAAAGACACACGCTGCCACTCAAGAAAGCTCAGCGCCGCACGGATGAGCTCGCCTTCTAGAGTCACTCTCTCACGGACACTGAGAAACTCGTAGTACTGTGCCTCAGCAGATCATCCTCTTTCCGCGACTGCTTGTCCACGTGGAAATGCTGCAACCACCCCAGCGCGAAATCCCTGCCGAACCAGGAACGGACATACGGGTCTGCTGCAGCTCAGTCTTGGAGGACATGAGGTCAGACAACTGGGGTTGCAATGCTCAACACAAACTTGACCCACAACGCCAACACCGCATCCACAACATGACCACCGAAGGGTTTCCTACTAGCCAGGATTTCGGTCAATATCGCAGCACCTGGCTACTCAAATCTACAATGATCCGATCTGAAACCCGACACCAGAACAGCGAAGACACCAAGCCCTGGAAGCGGAACCTCCATCCTTTCACAACACCGTCAACACACATCTCGCAGGCTGTATAGCGCTACGAGTAGTTATGTTGCAGGACCGTCTGCGTGTGCAATAGAAGCAACGAGCCGTGTCAAATCGATATCAATGCCCGCTGTGATTTCTGTCAATGTTCAGGTCAGGTTGGTCTTGTCGCACATGTGCACGCGCCCGCTTGACCGCCCGCCCGCTCAGACGCACATGGACACCCCAGCCGTAAACAACATGCAAAGGCCACCCCGGCATCATAAGCAACACCTGACATGGACAGAAGCTGTGAAGGGGTTCATTACTCCACAAGGCATGATGTGCGCTGTTCGTCAACATCATGATCACGACTAGCAACCTCCTCCTCCTCCTCGTAAAAGACGACATCATCACCAGTGTTGTCATCATGCAGACAAGCTATACATAACATGCGCAGGAAACAAGCGACCCAATCTAAACGACAGCACACACACACACACACACAGTGGAACTGAGAGGATGGCTAGTCGGGTCTGGCCCTGCTTGTTCACCATCAGGATGAACTTGATCATGGTCCTGATAGAGGCTCTCGTGCGGTGCCACTTTGGGCTTCAGCTGGCTGAGTTTGGTGTGGACTTTGTTGAAGGGCCTGCAATGCATGCTCTTCTTACCGGCACGACGACCGCAGTATGGCACCAAACAACACATTGAGAACTCACGGCCCAGACCTTCATGAAGTCTTGCCTTGCAGTTTCATGTAGCTGGGGAATTGAGCCGTTCAGTTCGGATAGGATTGTGCCTCACAGCTCTAGGTTCAATGAGAGGTGTCTCTGTTTGCTGTAGAGTGACGTAGCATCTGTGGTTTCGCTTCGTGTCTTGGAACTTTGCATTGGAATTCCGTGCCCGACATCATGACACCTACTGGCGGTGGAAGCTCAAAACCCGTGCGTTGAGCTCCAGCTGTTGAACCCTCATCCCAACCTCATTGCAACAAACATACCCGCTCGACTCGTGCTCGATCTTTGCAGGTGCAAAGTCAACACCTTCCTCTTTGCCGAGATGCCAGAAACACTATGGCTGAGGGTCCATATAGATATTTTGTGGTCGCATGACATGTACCAACATGTATCAACCGTGCACAGTGTGTTCAACTACCCGAACCCCATGTGTAAGTCTCGGGGCTAAGGGGCCAAGGCAGTTTAGAATCGAGCGGACACCATGCTCCGATTTGAACCCGGCCAACACCCCTCCACTCCTACCCGACTAGCCCAAGCAGATATCCTAAACCCGGGTTTCGATCCCATTGCATGCCAGACCTGATTGCAGCACCCCGTGCCGGGACGGCACACGGTGCGCCAGCGTCAAGCCAAAACGGCTTCCAGGAGCTCATTCGGCCAACGTTCCATGGTTCAGGGTGCCTTTGCGTGCGGGGCGGGGGGGAGAGGGGGGAATTGAATGTTAAGGGGGAAGGGATTAATTTACTAGTAAAGTCGAAATAGTAAAAGCACTGGCACTAATGATGGAAGACCAGCTCGTGCACCATCCAGAAGTCGGCTTGGCCACAACCCTGCCATGGTCTGTGTGAAGGGTGGGATGGTGGTTGTGGCACATGCAGCAGTCAACGACCACAACATCTTGGAATCCTCCGGCCGGCGCAAGCAGGACGCCCTCATGGCGCCCCACCTATTTGCTTATGCCTTCTGGGCGGGTACGAACCGGTGCCACCAAATTTACCCAAGAGCTCAGCAGGAGGTGCTTGGTCGCGGCATGTTCGGTAATTACGCGTTCACACACCGCCTACTGGTACCTGTTGGTCCGGCGGGTCCGCTCCAGCACCTCTGAGGTTTGGTGTTCACACCTTGCGTCCGCTGATTGAGTTCTGCTTGCCACTTTGCTGGGTTTGTCGCAAGTTTGTGTCATGGGCAAAGCGTATCCTGAAATGGACGTCACTTCTGCAAACAGCGTTTCGATTCCTTTCAAGATGGTCTGTACGTGGCTGGACTGCAACTGGGTCCTCCTTCTTCTCTGTGCTCGAAACAACAGAGCTCGAACAAAATTGCCAACAGTATGCCAAATCTAGCATTCCGAGGCAAGTTACGACTAACCTCTCTAACTTTAGTTATGTAATTCCAGGCTGTGGAATTCAATAGTTAAGTAAAGTATGTTTAATCTGCGGCCCCTGTAAACTAGTAAGATATTCAAACTGCTAATGTCGAGGCTTCTCCGGAAACCCAGACTAACATAATATGTAATTTTGGAAACAGAATCATAGAGTATACTGAATCGTTCCAGGCCCTGGAATTCAATGACATCTAACCTGCAGCCTCTTCAAAACTACATTAGCTTCCCTTCCAAGCCTTGAAATCGAATAAATCAATAAAGTGTAACATGCCTAATACAGAATTACACTAATTCCACATGTCGGAATCACATGAACGATTTGATGGCCGGAGCCTCACACCTGCATTGAAAATCTGAATATTGCAGTTCATCTGCCGCCACTTGGCCACATTATTTAATCTGTTACCTGGAGTGCATCCGTTTACCAATGTAACTTCATCTCGGTTGAACGCAACAAACACACGGAACACTGCTAACCGCGATCTCGAAACTCACTAAAGCTTAGCCCTTAACCGTTCCTTCCACCACACTGATTGGCTACGACTACGAAAAGACGTGTGCAAGCACGGATATAACCTACCTACCTCAAGATTTCCACGTAAACCTGCATGATTGTAGAATATCATCCGAACTGTTGACAGTAGCACTGCACTGAACATGCAGCCAGAAGACTTTCAGCCCCAAGAACCCGGAAACCCAACCTGATTCGAGCGAGGGCTTAAAGATTTACCTCGTTCACAGCCCCGGGTCCCAAGTCCCTAGGTTTCTGCGCCCTCGACTCAAGCGGCGTAGCTGTGCAAGGACTCTTTTGCAAAGCCGTGATCCGTGATTGCCGCCCATGAGGCATGGCAGCATGAGGCTCAGCCTACATCACATCGTCGAACAGAGGCTATATATAGTTTGCACAATCATGAATCCAAAGCCCTCTGAAGCCAATGCCGTGAATCTCGCTATGAAGCGAAGACTGATTATACTGCCGCAAACCTTCTACATGAGATGCGTACAGGAGTCTGACCAAGTGGCCTTTACCCTTCACCCTAGAAGTATTGCAAAAGCACAGAGTCCACAGAATCCTACACGATTAGCCTGGCTGACTCTCAGTCGCCGCGCACACTCAGCCTCAGTAAACAGCTGATGATTGAGGATGACGGCCGTTAGGGCTCAGGCATTGCGGTCTGGGCTTCTGGATTTGCGCGTGGTCTGAAAGTATATCGTGACTGATATGTGGACCGAAGAAGGTACGATGACAGCTCTTGTGCAGCTGTCTTACGAAAGGAATGCTGCAAAGCTTCCACTCCGGTTCCTGCAATCTGGGAAGCCTGGTCATGTCACGGGGCACGAGATCCAAAGCAGCGGACCCTATACTGGGATGTCAGGCTAAGCATTCGCTTCAGAGATTGGGCACTTGTCACCAAACTTAAACCTCTAATTCCTGAGGCTTTAACTGGAAACTTGCAATTGCAGACAAACATGGGACATCTGGCAACATTTTCAGGACCACCATGGACAGATCATGTACCCGGTCTGTCTGTTGATGACGAATATACTGTTTCATCCCAGCACAAATACGATTGCTGTCATCAATACAACTCGAGAAAGTAGTTCCTCGCGGTCGTCATCGTCATAGAGTTACAGTAAAGTACAGCTGTTCCTTTGCCGTGTTCGTCGTGGTGCTAAACGCTCACCGCGGCTGTCAATCTTCTGCACAGAACTGGGGACCTGTTGAGTTGCGGTGTCTTGCATGCCGCACATACTCTGACGTCAGTGAAGGGGCCTCTTGATACGAAATCAGAGAGGGCTTGTAGCTCACTGAAGAACCGTTGAGTTGATTGGGCCAGAGTTGGGTGGGATTGCAGGGCGCAGGAACCAACAAATATCAATCCAAAGTCTGACTCAAGATCATCACGCCCGAGGCAGCACACAAACTGTTCGAGAAGACTTACAGCTTAACTGGTCTTATTCTACTCAGGGCCACTTGCAAACTTGCAGCACGGCCGTTTTTACCAAGCGCAGACTGCAAAGCAGATAAGGCGCAGAAGATACACCCTTTCAGGGTAACGAGTAATGAGTCCTCCACACTCGCTGCCAGGCCCTAGATCTGAACTGCACACGCTCATTTACATCAAGTTAGAGCATCATGACCGCAGGGATCCAACTACCCAGTTGTTTTCTACTCACTTCTGTTGAGGAAAATGACCTTGAACACCGGGAAGTGGTATTTGATGAATTTGTGGACATATCTATAGATGAACTGGCATGCACTGCGTTGACGTCTGCCTGTTTGTCAGTATATATACATATATATATGTATATATATATATATATATATATATTTATATGCCTCAGCCTCCTAATGTGCATGTGCGGGGGAACGTCGGTTGTGGATCTCTGTGTATAGGTGGACGGTCTATCTGTCTGTCTATCCATACATGTTTCTTTCTGTCTCTGTGTAATTGACTCGGGCGGGTAGTGTGGACATGCGGTTGTCTGTGTTGCTCTGTTTCCGTGAGTGTACAGATTTAGGCTTTCAGGACTAACGGTTCAAATATGCCAGTCAAGTTAAACGACAATGAGAAATGAAAACAAATCAAATCTGCTACTGTGAGCTTTGTGACCACGTACATGCTCGCAGATCCTTCAGACCTAACATTTTCACTCAAGCTCGAATCTGGAGAGGTTCTGACTTGCGAGGACGGCGACTTATACTGTTAACTTTCTGAACATGTCAATGGGTTTTCGCCTTCGGGATCAGCCTGATGTTATGGAGTTGCAGTTGCGGTCGGATTTGAGGTGCGTTGTGTTTGCAAGGGGCTTGGCTTACACCATGAAGGGTCTGGAATATGCACAAAGCAGCTGCTAATCTTGAAGCATTCCAAATCGAGGCGTGTCTGAGACAGGATAATACACTCCCTGTCCCATGGGTATGCGCCTACCATGGACACAACGGCTTTCCTGTAGCTGCATCAAGTACTCGTTGCACACTTCGAAGTTTGGGAAGTTTTGCTTTGTGGCTCGACGTTCAGGACATCTCATTTCTGGAGGTGCAGATGTTTGCGGGCTAGTGTGTGGCAAACAAAATGACCTAACACATATCGAAACAATGGTGCAACAACTGCACAGCTAGGCAGGGCTGGCAAGCGGGCGATCGCCTGCTGAGGCTTCCACATGGCCTGTGGAGACTCTGTGGATGACCCGAACGAAAACAAACCTCGTGCAAACCTCGAGTTGAGGGCATAGACAGTTCAGGGTTTTGGACTTTGGGTTGTTGGCTGTGGAGTGAAACAGCTGATGTCGAACAGAATGCACCGGAAATGAACAAGGCAGGTTACCAGGACAGATTAGACGAACAAGGAATGCTCCGGCTTGGGGTTCGTTAAGGTCGAAGTACACCAAATAGGTTAAGATACAGGACTGCGAGGAGGTGACGTAGGCTGCTACGTGCGCCGGCATGTGCGTTGTACGGAGTGACAACGAGGTTTCCAGCGCCTGCGAAACAGAAAGGTGCTGCGAGAACTCCCAATCAAGGAGAATGCGCCAGGCAAGGAACTCATCGTATAACCTCTCACATTCTTGCTGCTTCGTTCAAGTGAAAGCTTTGGGAAAATAGTGGGGCGATGACGTTGAGGTCTGGGAGTGAGCCTCGAAAACTCCCGGATTACCTGTGTGTGATGAACGGTTGCAAAATCTACAAAACGCGTGACAATCTAAGGCTTGAAGGGAGAGTGCGGGGATTGCGCCTCTGGCATCCACCTAGGACCTGGGCCGACCTAGGCCTCAAATGCGATGAGATCGGTTGCTTTGTCTCCCTCGAGCCCTTGCAACTGGCGACGAGCAGACAGACTCCGCCATGAGAATGATTCTGTGAAGAAGCGCAAAGAAGGTACTCCAACGAACGCAAAACCCCTTCGGTTCCTGTTCTAGACACCTGTGAAAACAGTCACACATCCGTGCCAATACATTCAATCCTGCACGTCAGTATGATGCCCGGCAGTGCGATTGTTGAAACAGAACACACGTGCCTTTTGAAGCAAGTTCCTGCTATTGTACATCTTGGTGAGTCGAGTGGATGGCTCTGATCATGTGAGTTTATTACTACAACATCGGCGATCAGGGCATGGGTCAAAGAACACAACCTGATTCATGAGGCATCGGGGGCTGCTCGCGAAAGGGAGCATCTTGATTGTAAGAGGGTTACCCATACTCGTCACGAAAAGCTCAAGTCTGGTGTCATGTACCAAACGGCCAAGATCCACCCTCTGCGCTCCAAACCTCAAAGCTCGAACTCAGGGCATTAGTAGAGCTGCTGACAGGGGACCTTCTTCACACAAGCACAGATGTGCTGGAAAAGGGCATGCGTAAGACTCAAGCGCGACATGCAGCTCGGACCGTTAGGAGGGAAGGATTTGGGTCGGGGGTGTGGAATGGCAGCCTCCGGCATAAAGGATGCAGAAGTTCGGTGAATGTAACCGAACAGGTCGGGCTGCATGCATACATTGCCATTGTCGTTTGGATCTGCTTCTCACAGCCGATCTGAGCCGGGATCTTAACTTCAGCTACGAGATGACCGTCGCAAAAACGCCATCTCAGGACGTTGCCCATTGCATTTAGGGCCCAGGGCTTCTTCAACTTCCTAGTTGGGGGTTCGATCTACCCCCGGACCCTAGGAGCAACAAGGAATCGTCGTGGAGACATTGCGCCGTTCTGTCACCACGCAGGATCCCCGGACTTGTCATAGGTATTTTGTCCGTACCCTGGAGCATCAACATGGCAGCGTAACCTCCAAACCTAAGTGAAAGTTACAGTCAGCATCCCGTCTGAACCACGCAAAGAGATCGTGATTGCCGTGCAAGGCACCGCCCACTGTCCATCAAACCACGATATAGAATCCTCGAGGATATACCACTCCCGGCCGCAAAAGATCGGAAAGCGTCATTTGCAAACCTTACAGCCCCTGCATGATAGTTCATGATAACTTTTCTTCAAAGAACAATTATAGACAAATCATCATACTGGCAGTAGCCGCCATCATCATCACCACATAAGCACTGGCTACGTACTTGCAATACAAGACTGCATTGGAATATCCAGAAAAAACTGGTTATGACAGAGTAAACCGACTGCTTCAACCCCTTGCGCGCGCCCTTTCATCGCAAGCCAGGCCCGACGCCTGGACAGATGTGGGTATATTATGCTTAATCGGGTGGGTGCATGTGCTCGTGCATGCGGCGTTTGCACTGCATGCTTGTGTACCGCGGAGGGTGATGAGTTGCTCCGTCTTGGGCTCTTGGTATGGATGCGTGCTTATCCTGGTTTGCACTAGGCCGGCTTGAATGGAAGCGGTTATGCTGAACTGGGGTTATCTTGAAGGCATCTGCTCATGTTCAGGGGAGCTCGCCATGAAATGAAACCCTCTATATAGATGTATATGTTCATACATATATGTATATACACATACACACATAAAACTGTATCTGCATATACTCATATATAGATAATATATAGATATAGATATAGATATAGATATAGACATAGATATAGATATAGATATAGATATAGATATAGATATGTGTGTGTGTGTGTTTACATATGCATGTATGTATGTGCGGGCGTGCGTGGCTTCGTGTACTGTTGGGAGCTTAGGTTTGCGCGTATCTGGTCTTCCGAGGTAGATCGCTTCACAGCCAGCAAGTTCTCAACACCTAGTGTCACTACACACTATGCTGCCATCAGGAGGTAGCAAACACTCGCTTTCATGCAGCAAAGCGCACACAGTAAAGAAGCAGTGTCCCGAAAAGCAAAAAGCATCGTCGATGATCTTCTGCCAGTAGTAGGAACACTACCACTTGGACAGATCATACGCAATAACACAGAGGCTATTGCTGCCAATGGGGATACGGGTGGGCTTGTAACCCGGAGTTCCCAACGCGGTGAGTGATTTCTGGCCTGCACATGGCCGATCAAACAATTCGCTCGGCTCCCACGGCTCCAGGTTATTCCTCGTACACGGGCCGTACTGCATCTACCGATCAGTCAACAAAAAATGCCCCGGAGCCAAGTGGATTGAGCTCTCTTCTGCGTAAGGCTGCTCGATTCTGGTTTGCGGTTGCGGAGTTTGAGGATCGAGGTTCAGGCTGTTAAAGCTACATCGGAGAAACACTTCCCAAAGACAGCATTGCCACGAGGTGAGACAACAACGACTGCTACAACGACGGCCATCGACACTGCCACGACGACAACGACGACCACTAACACCAGCAGCAGCAGCGGCGGCGGCAGCGGCAGCGGCACAATCAGCCACAACAACCAACAAACAACAATCACCAAACAGCAAACAACAAACATCCAACAACAACAACAACAACAACAACAAACAGCAACATAGCAAACACAGCTACAACATCAACGACAGCAACTACAGCAACAACAACAACAACCACAACCTGCCGACAACAAACAGCCAACACCACCACCACCACCACCGCCACCACCACCAACAACAACACCAACAACACCAACACCAACACCAAACCCACCAACAACAACAACAACAACAACAACAGCAACAGCAACAGCAGCAGCAACCAACAGCAACGGCGAATGCAACAGCAACACCATCAGCAGCAGCAGCAACAATAACAGCACCAAGAACAGGAAGAGGAAGAGGAGGACCCGGCAGGAGCGGCAGGACCAGCAGCAGCAACAAGAACGATACCAGCAACAAGAACAGCAACAGCGACGACCAGAACCACCACCACTAGTGCTGCTACTACTACTACTGCTACTACTGCTACTACTGCTACTACTGCTACTAGTAGTAGTACAAGTGGTAGTAGTAGTAGTAGTAGTAGTAGTAGTAGCAGTAGCAGTAGCAGTAGCAGTAGCAGTAGTAGTAGTAGTAGTAGTAGTAGTAGTCGTGGTAGTAGTAGTAGTAGTAGTAGTAGTAGTAGTAGTAGTAGTAGTAGTAGTAGTAGTATGTAGTAAGTAGTAGTAAGTAGTAGTAAGTAGTAGTAAGTAGTAGTAAGTAGTAGTAAGTAGTAGCAAGTAGTAGTAAGTAGTAGTAAGTAGTAGTAAGTAGTAGTAAGTAGTAGTACGTAGTAGTAAGTAGTAGTAAGTAGTAGTAAGTAGTAAGTAGTAAGTAGTAAGTAGTAAGTAGTAAGTAGTAGGTAGTAAGTAGTAAGTAGTAAGTAGTAAGTAGTAAGTAGTAAGTAGTAGTAGTAGTAGTAGTAGTAGTAGTAGTAGTAGTAGTAGTAGTAGTAGTAGTAGTAGTAGTAGTAGTAGTAGTAGTAGTAGTAGTAGTAGTAGTAGTAGTAGTAGTAGTAGTAGTAGTAGTAGTAGTAGTAGTCTAGTGTAGTAGTAGTAGTAGTAGTAGTAGTAGTAGTAGTAGTAGTAGTAGTAGGTAGTAGTAGTAGTAGTAGTAGTAGTTAGTAGTAGTAGTAGTAGTAGTAAGTAGTAGTAGTAGTAGTAGTAGTAGTAGTAGTAGTAGTAGTAGTAGTAGTAGTAGTAGTAGCAGTAGTAGTAGTAGTAGTCAGTAGTAGTAGTAGTAGTAGTAGTAGCAGTAGTAGTAGTGGTAGTCTCAGTAGTAGTAGCAGCAGTAGTAGTAGCACTACTACTACTACTACTACTACTACTACTACTACTACTACTACTACTACTACTACTACTACTACTACTACCTACGACAACGACGACGACTACTACTACTACTACTACTACTCCTACTCCTACTCCTACTACTACTACTACTACTACTACTCCTACTACTACTCCTACTACTACTCCTACTACTACTCCTACTCCTACTCCTACTCCTACTCCTACTGCTACTGCTACTGCTACTGCTACTGCTCCTGCTACGCCTACTGCCACTGCTGCGGCCACTGCTACTCCTCCTCCTACGACAACGCCAACCACTACTACGAGTACACCACCACCGCCACAACGACGACAAGGTCCACGGGTTCAGTGCCAGAACGCAACTACGACGCTGAGTCGCGCTTGGCTGCTAATGAGTATCCCGGACTTACACGACGAAACATCTGCAGATGCAGCAACAACCATGCAGCCCAAACTCGGCATTAGACATGACAAGAACCTGGCACGGAACACTTTGTGGTCCAGGGTCAAAATGGGTCAAAGCCAGCTCAACCAAGTTCACCCCTTGGCGCTAGTTAAAGCGCGAGATCACGCCAACGAATCCAGACAGAATCCCTCCGACCATGATGAAGTTCTTCATGAACATCCTCAGCAAAGAGGATGAGGTTGCGGGCACGCTTATCAGGTTTGTCATACACATCCCAGCCAAATGCCAGTGTGTCTAGCCGGTAACTACATGCCAGGACATGCGCAGACTCCATATCGAAATCGCTGCAGTATCGCATGGGCGCAACACCGAATCGGAAACGCCAACCCATCCAACAGCTCAGCAATGAAAACCGAAGCTCCTCGGGACACCGGTGCTTGCAGGTGAGCGGGCTTCTTGGGATATCCGTCGGGTGGGTTATCCGGCACGTGGATCAGAAAACGGCAACACTGAGTACGCAGAAGTCTCGCAGTAGCGTGGGGATTGTGGTTCTCAATTCCGGCAGTGTCGCGTTTCGGTGGGACTGGGCAGATGCGGAGGATCCAAAGTGTCCAGGATTTACGGCAATACTTCCAACAAGGATAGTTGGTGCAATTGCCGCTTCTCCCGCCAGTATTGGTCCCGAGGCATGCAATGCCCTACAGTTCATGCTCGTTGAAGGTCGGTAGATAGCGTAAACCATGGTCAAGCAGGCAATTCCAGTCCACCTTCCCGGCGAACATGCTGCACCTAATCGGCCCAGCGGCTCTCTTGTCAGCTTGATGTCCTTGACGAAAAACCCAGCTGAGCTATCCGCGATGAATCTGACAAGGTAGGTGCGATCCAGGTCCTGATTTCAAACGAAAGAAGCATAAAACCTCTGAAGTGGGGGATTTACATGGTAAAGACAGAATAGAGGGGGTCGGTCTCCCTGAATCCTCAGCACCGCCAGCCAAATCCCACCCGCTAATTTTGAGTTCGCCCCCAAGCTTGAAAATGCATGTGTTTCAAAACCGGAGGACCAGACTCCAAACAAACGCAGAGCATCGTTCCACCATGCACAGCAAAAATGGAGGTTGGTTCAAGGTAGGCACACGCAGAACGTTTTGCACAGCTGGGTTCCTCGTCTTGGCTCTTGGGTTTTGGTGGCGATCGTGTAGGGTGACCTCCTCCATACTATTTGGAGTGCACATGTACTTGACAAACCCTCCGGGTGAGTTCGGGAAACTGGTGCAAAGGAATCAAGGACTCCAACGTGATCTGTCAAGTGGCTGAGGCTTTTCAGTCTATGGGCCGTCCACAGCCGCCGTCGAGGGAGCACTTGCACAGTCTCTGCGAACTGCCCAGTGAACAAGCTGGGAACTTCAATATATACAGCTACGTTGTCGCACCATAGAGAAACATCTTGACAAGAGACACAAAGTAGAAAGCCGTAGAGTAGAGCCTGATGTATGGCAGCTGTGGATTCAATCACTATTCACATGAACCTCTGTTTGAACTGCGGGCGACCCATGCCGGGAAAACAGTCTTGCAGCCACATGGCTATGGGATCCGCGTCTGGCGAGGGTATCTGGTTCACGAACGCCGGAATCGCACGACACTTTTCCTTGGTGGATGCTTCGTCAGGGTGAAGGTAGCCTATGTTCGCGCAGATGTCTGCCCGAATCGATCTGAGTCCAGAGTAGTTCAAGTGGCCTGGCCTGTGTAGACCTCCGATAACTTATGCGTCAGGACAAGATGACTGCATCAAATTTCGTTTGACGACATCGAAACTTCTGGACATGGGGCTTTAGTGCCCTTTCCCAGTGCTCGCCACATGGTGCATATGCTTTGCAGAAGACTCAGATTTCAGGTCTAGCAGCTTAGCAGATAGCATTCGTCCGTGCACCGAGCTCGGATTGTCAGGCCATGGCACACCCAGTCCCGGGTCAGCCCCGGGTCCGATGAGGGCGAGAGATTTAGATGAGTGTATAAATTAGCAGTCGAGGATGTGGGTGGCGGCACAGGTCAGAGAATCAACAAATGCGGGTCGTCTTGCCTGCAGCTTCGGGCTTGGCCTGCCGGTTAGCCACGAAGTCTCTGCCCCCGGCGTGGTGAAGACTTCTCCGGCTTGGAACTTGGAACTGTTTCATGCCTTCGTTTGGAGCCTCGTTCCCAAGTCCAGTGTCTTTCAGTCACATTGGAATGCGGATTGTGGGCTGATCAGTAGGTACGTATAGGCGCCATGCAGGAACAGATCTTGAGACTCCAATCTTGCTTGCCGCCCAGATTCGGTCAGAGCTGCTCCATGTGAGCAGACCTGCAGGACATGTGGTGATGCTCAGGATGATCTCCGAACCGGCAAAACATGCGGATTCTGATACCTAAGATATCCTGCGGCACAGTCTTTCTCAGTCCTAAGTAGCCTGGGGCTCAGGGTGTGGGAAATCTGCTCAGAGCTCACGGTTCAGGCTTCATTGTCCAACGTGCACGAGCGCACGACCTAGGACACAAGATTGAATTCGTTTTGCAGGACCACTTCGCATTCATGTCTACATTACGCTGGCATGCATAGGTGTGTGCTCATCAATCCGATTCTGCGTCTGTCAAAGAAGCTCGGCAGCCAGACGCGGAGTAATGAAGCTGGCATCGCACAAAAAGCACCAAAATGCAAACACATGTTCAGCAATCATCCGCCACAAAGACGCAGGCTGCACTTAGTCGCAGAAAACTACCTCAACCGCTTCCGGGCAACGAAACAGTGAACCTGGAGCGGATGGCACTTGGGTTACAATGCTCCTCTTGGACTCGTAAGTGGGTGACCGTGTTGTTTGCTGGTTCAAACTTCCGATCTACCGAGATCCTTGACAGCAGCACGCACAAAACCCCGTCTACGAACCCTGTCCGTTGTACATCTGCAGAAGCCTCAAAAGCTTGCCGAATCTTGCCCTGCCAAGGGTCCATACAACATTGGGAAGCAACAGCCGAAGTCATGATATCCGCGAGCCGCCGTCTCTTTTGAGGTCGCTACCAAACTCCTCCTACCATCTGGGCGTCCTGTAAGCAAGTAGAGTCACCCTCCCCTCGTTCAACCCACTCACCTATACTTCCCGCAAGTCCTGACGACACAAACTAAACCCTGGAAGACAGGATAAAGCCTTGCACCTTCCATCCGCAAGAGACCCTCAAAGTCTGGGGTGTCCGGCGCGCAGATTCAATGCAAAGAGTAGAAGCAAAGGCAAAGAGGACAGACCTTGAAAGCGCAGCTGTGATCCAGGATTTTAAAGCTTAGGAATTATACTACATGTAATTATACAGCTCATCGTACAAGGATGCTTCGATTTAGAGCGAACAGGTGCCGTGGGAGACGGCTGCGGATTGGGAAGAAAGGTCTGAAGAGTGGGATCCAGGCGCGGTGCATTTCGACTCCGGCCTCATAAATGAAGGTACCGGGCACAGACAGACAAGAAATATTTGAATTGAAGCGCTGCACTCGACTCCCAAACCAACATGATCGGGAGCAACGGCGAGAACATGTCTTTCGTGTTTCTGCCGTGTGGTGTACACTGCAGCACTAGAGTCCGAGTCTATAGAGTCTGAGTCTCGTAGCGATTCAGAGTTATTCATGTAGGGCTGTGGTCTGCGCTTGCTGACAACTGCATCCCACACAATACCTATACACTGCTGACTCCCGAGAACTTTGGCACCGAAGCCCCAGAGCCCACCAGAATCCTCGCTGCGAGGGGTTCAGAACGACAAAGTGACAAAAACACAGATCGTGACAAAAGCTTCTCTGCTTGCCGCAAGCCTCGCTAGCAACCTTTCGAACAGCGACTGACTGGGATCAACAGCGGCGTACCTGCAGCCTACGCAAAGCAAGTCAAGTCTCAACGCGGTGTACACCAAAGTCGTTTTTCTGGACCAGGCACTTTCGACAGCAGCTATATCCAGCTGGAAGCCCGACTGAAAGGCGAATGTCACCTGGGAGCTCCGTGAGGGTACAGCTCAGGCTTTGCCGAACAAGGGCGACTCATCTCGCAATTACATTTTAATTACATCAAGGATGCTGTGGGGGCGTAGGAAGGAAGAGTCGGAAGAAGGAACAACAACAAGTGTCATGGAGCATCCTCGCTCACTCGCCAAATGCAACATTAGCCGCCGTAGCAAGCAAACTGCGAACATAAGCACATCTCCAACCCTCCACCCACGTCGTGGGGAAGACAGCAAATCCAGAATCATTACGAGCATTTACGTCGAAGACACCATCCTGTGATGTTTTGCCTCTGTGAGCAGCTTCAAGATTGCAACCATCAAACAATCTCAAATCTTATACAAAGTCAGAGCCAGTAGCAAACGAAAAAGGAAGTCATGTCGCGAGGCTGAAGAGTCGAGCACAGGCCGATTCGAGCTCTACGAAGTCCGGCTGAAAGATTCGTGCACTGCACACTCGTAGCGATTCCTACAGCAACGGTGTGGAGTCGAGCACCGACACGAATCTCACACAGGGTGTTCCGACGGCTCACACCCATATGTAAATGTAATGCAGGCATGCAGATCTACATACATACAGACATACATACATACATACATACATACAAAGAAAAGAATAGAAAGGAGTACAATACAATGTGGCATGAAACAGTGTAGCATTTACGGCATATGAAATATCATATCGTAGAATGAAATATACTAATTAATACAATGCAAGATAAGAAAAGAAAGCACAGTACAGTACGCTATGAGAGGATACAACCTGATAAAATAAAATATTACATAGTATAATTTAGTGCAATGTACTGCAATAGAAATGTAGCAATATTTCTATATAATAACAAAAAATTGAACAGTGTAATCTACCAATAGCAAATGCATTGCACCACGATAGTAGTCTGTATCAATGTTATAGATTACAAGAATAAATGCATCATACCATGTTGTTCTGACATCGTTTATTATGTTATGTTATTTGACATGATATGGCATGATGTGGTATGGTGTGACATGATATTGAACTATATGGACTTAGCTTAGATTGGATAAAACTAGATTAGATTAGACAAATCTTTATTGTGTTACAGTATATTGTTGTTATACTACAATTTAGTATGCTGTATTGCGAGTATACTAAATATAAGACATTATAGCTCACTATACTATATGGTATGAGATACGGCTACATGCACAGCAGGCATATGATTTGTAATTAGTCACGGCCAGCCGTCGCTATTGCAGCGGCAACCAACCTTAAGAACTCTGATCAAACAGGATTGCCTAGTGAGGGGTCGGGCTTCAAACATACGATAACCGTCATCGCCTGGGAGTGGTGCTTGCGTCGCGGGTGCTTGAATCGCGCGTTCGTGGTGATCGAATCACGCTTGCCTGGTTCTTGAATCGGCTGGTGCTGAATCGGGTGCTTGGTCTTTGAATCGCGGGTGCGAATCGGGCCTGGTTTTTCAATCAGGATCTGAAGCGGTGAGGGGCTTGGGGGTTTGGGGTTGCAAGACGTCTAGACCCTGCACCCAAGAGCCGTCTTGATGTAAAAGGTGAGTGGCTGAGCTGGCCAGGACGTAGATGACTCCTCAGCTGCGGTCAGACCAGCATTGCGCTCAAAACTCAATCGTCCCGCCCCTCACCCCTTCAAAAGCAGCACTGAATCCCGAATCCCGTGTTACAGAGTGTGTTGGGGGGTTCCGATCACATGGGAGGTTGTGGGGCCCATGTGGGGACCCTAACCCCAGAGCAAAGCAGACAGTCCTCCTAAACGGCTGATTCGACTTCGTCCTTCTTACTTTGAACTAGACATGATGGCAGCCAGTCCACTGCCCCCGAAAGCCGTGTGACAGTGTGTGGTTGACCTACATCAGGCAACACTTCAATGTATGTATTGTTGCTGCTCCCTCGATTTGAAATGATCTGCTGCAGCGCATGCGTCCGGGAGGTTGCACTTGCAGATGCGGTAGATGCTCACGTGGGTACCGTTTAGATACATTTCGCTCTTTCGATTTGTATCCACTGTTCAGGGCACTTCGAAGGTGTCATGGGGCACCACCGCGACACTTTGACTTGCCCGCTGCATAGCAAGTCGCGTACGATTGTCTTGCAGCCCTGCAATACGAATCTGTATGTTGCGGAAAAAGAAAGACCTGCTCTCGAGCACGGATTTCAGACTTAAGCCATCCAGCGTGTCTTCCTTTGCAGTTCACTGCGGCGAACACTAATCTCTGGTGTTGCTGCACGCTGATCGTAGACATGTGGTTTTGCACGATCGTGTGCATCCAGATAGGCCCGTGCTCGCATCGGGCAGTTTCCAACCAAGCCCCTTGGAAGAAACACCGCAAAACACTCAGAATGCGCAAATGGCCCAAGATAGCCTGACCGGGCAAAGCCCACCCAAGCTCCCGAATCTGGTGATGATTTACGGCTCTCCGCAGTCAGACGATCTTTTGGCTGACCCAGATCGTGCAGTGGGCGGGCTTTCCTCTACAAAGCGCAGTTTCACAACTAGCTACGGGTACTAATACGATGACGCAGGCATATGAGCATCGTGATGGTGGCGATCATGCTGGTGCTTCTGAGGATGTCAATGATGAGAAGGCAGTCAAGCTTTTTGCAGACCCACTGGGACTGAGCCGTTGGCTTCCCGACCCCAAATCTTGGATAACTCATCAGCATGCTCACATGAAGGAACAAATATCCCAACCTCCACTCCTAGAGCTGAACTGACCAATCTTCAACCAGAGCACCCTGGACAACCCTGAAACAATGATATCTTAGCCCAGGCCGCCGATTGCCCCGATCGTCTGCGCAGCTAGAAAACCGCTCGCCTCAGTGGCAGTGCACAGGCGGAGTTCCGGGCGGAACCCTCCGGTGTCGGTGTGTCAAGCCAAGTCGAGGCTTCAAACATGAGAGTCAGAGCATTTGGCGTTCCAACAGTGTTGCGACACGGGAAGTAACAGAATCGGAATATTGATTCAATATGCTGAACCTGTGATAGCAGTAGACTAGTGACTGGGGTTTACTCGTTGGGACGACCACAAATTTCTCTTCCGTGATACTTTCAGCATAGATGTATCTTTGAGAACAAGCACGGCCAGTACGTGGGCATCGCATCCTTGCAACCTCTCACCGGAAAAGTCGATGTTCCGTCCAACCACATGTGCTTGACGGGAGACAGACAAGCGTTGACGGGACACATACAAGCGACCGAGGAACACACCTTCAGAATTATTGGCGCTTCTGGTCACTGCTCTTGCCCTGCTTGGAGAGCAAGTCGTGCTTCCAAGTGCAATATAGGGGCTGTACCGGAAACACAACCATGTAATCGCTACCATGCTCAACACCATTCATCAGTCCACGGTCCAGCCTGTAGACCCAATTGAGCCAAATTAGCATGTGCGGACCTGCTTGCCGTACATAATCGCAAGAACACTAAATACAGCCGCGATTGCCGTCGAGCCTTTGATCCGCAAGCCTGCATGAAACCCACGAACTCAGGGCAAGTCGCAATTTCTTTCCCAATCGCTTTCAAGAGTGCTTGCCTGGGATGACAGCACATGGTGACATTGTGGATGAACAAGCATTCTCCATCCAGCAGATTGTGCACTGCACGGCTTTACGACTTCAGGTTCAAACAGCCGTAATCGCGACCAAAAGAAGCAGGATCGAGCCCTTCAAACCGCACATTCGTGCATCTTGAAACATCATGTCTGAATATCGACAACCACACATACCGCTAGATGCAAGCCTTGGAGCATGCAGTTCCAGCTGTCGACTGCGTTGCTGAAGTCTCCATCCAGAACGCTGCAACACCAGCAATCGAGGCCTCATCCGACGTGCTGTTGAAGCTGCATTTTTTGGGCTGGGTGTTCCGGTGGGCTTGAGTGTGGTGTGGAGATCTGAGCGATTTGGAAATGTGCGTCTTTACTTCGGTGTGGGATTTGCTGCGGTCTTCGGGCTTGAACTCGCTGCCTGACAGAATGAGTGTATGGGCGCCGCTGCGACAGCAGCAGCAACATCAACTTCAGCTCAACCCAAACAACCACAACCGCCCCCTGCTGATGCGCCCGCACGCAGTCCGGACAGCGCCCAAGACCGTCACTACGACCACCAGCAGCAGCAACAACAACCATAGTAATAATAAGAACAAGAAGAACAGTAATAACACGAACAATTACAATAGCAGTCACACAGTAAGAAGTATCGAACGTGTACTAGTTACAGCTACAAGGAACAGTTGCAAGCTCAAGGAGATAGAGGTACGAAAGACGATACTCTCCACTCCCGACCCCGACAGGGGGAAACTCGTGAACCCACTTCCATGAGCCGCAGAGGCGTTCAGGGTGGGTCGGTGGGCAAAGAAATCCAAGTACGCCTGCACCCTGGGAGTTCGGGCCCAAGGCTGCAGACGTAGACGATTCCGAACACTTCAATCTTCAAGAAGCCCCTTCCCAACCAATCACAATAACATAAACAATAGCGGCGTCAATCAAAACAATGACAAACAACTCCCCAAAACCCTGACAAACAACTCGAACATACGCAAACAATCGACCTACCAACCGCGACCAACCAACCAACCAACCAACCAACCAACTAACCAACCAACCAACCAACCAACCAACCAACAAACCAAACAACCAATGACCAACCAACCGAGCAATCGAGCAAGCGACAACGACTACGACAAACACAGAAACTGCCGTGAAAAATAGCCAACACACAACAAACACACCAGGGGGAGTCTGGAGCCATAGGTCGTGTGGGGAGTAAGTTCTTGAGTCTGAACTTCTGAAACGTAGCCTTGCAAGGCCCCTGAATTCACCTCAATATCAAACTGCAGAACCTTGACACTGGCCCCACAAACAGACAGAGCGCTCTTGTCCAGACCGAGGAGAAGATGTGATTGAACGTAGTCCGCGAGGACGACAGCTGCAGAGCACATAGTGAAAGCGATGAAGCTCAGAACCTTGGCTGTCTGGCGGAGGCCGATCAAAGCCTGTTATTGGTCTTCTTGTTATTGTGTTCCTGATTATGAGATTGATTCTGATCGTTTTGGTGAATGATGGTGATGGTATATAATGGTTACTGGTACTGATACTGATGTCGGCGTGGGTGCCAACCCTTACCGGTTTTGCTGTTGTCTCCTTGCCGTTACTGCTTCTGCGTTCCAGTGTTAATGTAACAGACAAGCTGTTGCGACTACCGCTGCTTGCTGCTGTTGCTGTTGCTGTTGCTGTTGCTGTTGCTGTTGCTGTTGCTGTTGCTGTTGCTGTTGCTTGTGCTGCTGCTGCTGCTGCTGCTGCTGCTGCTGCTGCTGCTGCTGCTGCTGCTGCTTCTGCCGCTGCTGTTGTTGATGCTGACGCTGACGCTGTTGCTGTTGCTGTTGCTGTGGCTGTGGCTGTTGCTGTTGCTGCTGCCGTTGCTGTTGCTGTTGCTGCTGCTGCTGCTGCTGCTGCTGCTGCTGCTGCTGCTGCTGCTGCTGCTGCTGCTGCTGCTGCGCTGGTGCTGCTGCTGTTGCTGTTCCTGTTCCTGTTGCTGTTGCTGTTGCTGGTGCTGCTGCTGTTGTTGATGTTGATGTTGTTGCTGTTGGTTGTGTTGTCTCATTTTGTTGTTGTCGTGGATGTTGTAGCTGTAGTTGTAGTTCTTGTTGCTGATTTGCTACCTTGTTTGATGATGATGTTGTTGTTGCTGGTGCTGCTGTTGGTGTCGCTGTTGGCTGTGGCTGTGGTTGTGGTTGGGATTGGGGTTCTGGTTCTGCTGGTGCTGGTGCTGGTGGTGCTGGTGCTAGCGGTGGTGCTGGTGGAGGTGCTGGTGGTGGCAGTGGCGGAAGCAACGGTCGGGGTGGCGGTGGTGGCGGTGCTGCTGCCATAGCTCTTGCAACACATTGCTTCATAACGTGTTTTTGAATTCTTGTTTCTGTGTATTCTATGTTGCAGTGCTTGGTATTGTTTATGCATCTATTGCTGCTGCTGTTGTCCCTGTCATCCCGAAAAGAAACCGCGGAGCCAAACGTGACCTGACGATTTTGAGCTCCAAACCCGAAATCTGACGCCTTCCATCTGCACCATGGGGCCACTCCTGAGCCTGTTCAGAGCTTAGAACACAGAATAACTCCCAGGTTATTGGCAGGAAAGGTAAACCGGAGAAGTCGTGCAGCGGTCTTTCTTCCCGTGGATTCAGGCTTGGGAATCCGGCGATTGATAAACCAACCGATTTGTGCTTGCAGGGATGCAGCATCCCGTGCTGAACTTAAGGATCTGAATTCTGAGAACTGTGTGCATCTGTGTGGCTCCGCAGACTACCCGTGTGATTGCGGCAATGTCGTAGACACCCGGCGTCAGATTCACTTGCCATGCCTCATAGCATGACAAATGGTGCAGTCTGTGAGTCGCAATGTGCCCGAGTCCACCCAAGTCACTAGGGGTCACTATAAGGCTTTCTAACAGAAACTAAAATGCTCTGGATTGGCGGGTCGGACCCGAGCTCGTGACACGTGCGCTACCTTGAGTACTTTCGGCCTTCTCTTCCTTGGCACATGTGCAAGGAACGAAAGTCTGCCGATGCTCTTGCTGCCGCTGTGCAAGAGGGGCCAGAACTTGGGTGCAATTGCAAATTTTTGCTGATCTGAACCAGCGTTCTTTTTCGGTGCCCGCTGCTGTGACTTCGAAAAAAGCCTCCCTTTCAGGAGGGAACAACTTTGATGCAGAATCTATAGTGACAGCACGAGCCTGAATCCGGAAACCCTCCGACATCACTCGTTGGCTATGCTTCTTTGCCTGACCTCGACATCCGGACCCGAATCCGGTAACCACCCCTCAAAGCCTGAAGTGTCCTTGGCATTGGCGGAAGCGTTGAGAATTATCGGAGCTTCGACGCTAAGCTGGCTGAACACCCAACACCGTCACTGTTCGAATCCCGGGCCACAAGCCTGAACCCTCGGTGCCCACCTCCTGGGAGATCTTCCACTCCTCTAGGCCTAGAGCCGCTCCGAAGCCAGCCCTGCCAATGCTTCTGGGCTTTTGGCTCTTGGGCTCATTCAGAGTCAGGCTTTACAGGGTCTGTAGACTTTGCTTTGGGTCTGCGTCATTATGGGGGGTTTGCATGGAGGTCAAAGTGCCCCAAAGATACAAGCACCTTCTGAAAGCGCGCATGGGAGCTCACTGCTCCGAATTGACGTTGCAAGTCGTCGGAGTGTTCCGATTGGTTATGTTGAATGTAGCAATGTAGCAATCACCCGCATGCCTATTCGGCCGAGAGAGAAAAGCATGTCTGTTGAATGCAGCGCTGACGAGGTTCCATGAGAAACGTCGTATGCGAGCAGTGCAGGCGTGTGTATCTGCATGTCATGAGTGTGCGAATGTCTGTATGGCTGTCTGTATGTATGTATGTATGTCGGAACGTTGGTATGTATGCATGTATGCAATACAAACAGAAAACACACACATGCACACACCGTCACATGCATACATACATACATACATACATACATACATACACACACACATACTTGCACACATACAGTCATACGTACATACATGCGTAAATACATACATACATACATACATACGGACATGCATTCCTATAGACATACACATACAAACATACCTCCCTGCGCACGTATGTACATACAAACAAAGAAACATGCGAACATAAACCTACGAGTACCCACCTACATATATACATCTACATATGCCTCTAAACATACAACCTTGCAACTGTCTTCCTACCTGCCTCCCTGCCTGCATGCACACATCCACATATGCTTGCGGGCAAACGATTGTACATTGTATGTAATTACCTGCACCTCGTGAAAAACGTCTTGGCCAAGGCACACCATGAGAACCCAAGCCAGGGCGTACATGCGCCATTCAAGTCCCGTGACTTGACCTCAGATACAAGATTTGCCAGCATCATGCAAGCCTTGGAATGCAAGCAAAACGGGGAAGCCACACGACATCACAAGCACCTGCCTGCCGCTTGTCTGTCTCTGTCTGTCTGTGTCTGTGCGTGTGGGCATGTGTATGTGTCCTCGTGAGGGCACATTCGAGTTCGCGCGTCGGTGTTGCGGTCTGCGTCTGCCCGCCTGCCTGTCTGCCCTGTCGCTTTACAAGGATTTCGTCACACGTTTCTGTGAGGTCTCGCTTTGCTCTTGTGAAAGTAAGAAGACCATCAGACTCAATGGTCCCACTCATAGATTGCCCGGCCCATTACTGCCTTTCAGTGCCCTGCACTGCCAATTACTGCACTTTACCGCCCTTTACTGCCTTTTACTGTCCTTTACTGCCCTTTACTGCTGCTTACTGCAGTTTACTGCCCTCTGCTGCCCTTTACTGCCATTCACTGTGTGTTACTGCCCTTTACTGCATAACTATATCTATGTATGTATATTAAATTATATGTATATATATATATATATATATATGTATATATATATATATATATGTATAGACATACATATGCATATATATATACACACATATTCTATCAGATGGGGCAGTGGCTCATAAAACGATCTGGCAGGTGTGGATTAAGGTATCGAAGGTGTATCGATTCGGGTATCGATTGCCTAGACATATATCACACGGAAAAAAAGGCACAAATGCCGTTGAAGCACTGAAATGTCACAACAGATGACCTTCGTTGGTCATATCGCTTTGGGGGATCCTATCGCTTTCCAAGAAATTTGGCAAGATCTGGCCTTCCACGGCCAACCTACTCTTAGCTACAATTACCCAAGTTTCGACCGATGCTCGTGCGTGCGTGCGAGGGGGTGCGGGTGGATTTAGGTGGGTGTGCGTGGCCGGGGGGTGGGCGGGGGTGCACGACGAGCGTGAGAGCGAGGATCCGCGCGTGTGATCTAGGCTGCCAAAGCAAGAGCCGTGAGCAGGGGCCCCTCCCAACTTGAAAGATGAGCTGCCCCATTCTATTTCGAAGGTCACGACGAACTTGTGCAGCTTGTCGAGCGCTAGCGTGAAGTCGTCAGACTTCAAGGCTCTGCGAACAAAGATAACCTGGGAGACTTATAGGAAGGCTAGACATACTCTCTGCAATCTTAATTGATGTTCGGACACACGAGGTCCTACTGTAGAACCTCACGGCAAAGAGTTCAGCCAACATGGGCAAACGGGCAAACCGTGCCATGAATGTATGTACCGCTTTGTTCCACAGCTCTTGCGTCCTTTCCTCTACAAAGCGCATACTGCGGGTCATCTTGTGGAGCTGGCCTCTCCCTCGAAATTAGCCAAATCTAACCCAAAAAATTGGCAATTCAAGCGGTCAGATCTGAAAATGCTTGAATCTCAAAAGCAATCACGCCCCTTTGAAGCTTCCTTTGGGCAATCTCGGCAGACAAAGAGCGCACGAGATGGCGGCGACAGTGTAGAGGTTGCTAGACCTTTGCGGTCCAAGGGGCTGTCTGCTTTCATCAGAATCATGTCGGAGTAAGACGGACTAATTTATGATTTGAGATTAAACGCTTGCGAGTTAAGGCGGTGAAGATGAAAAACAGACAGGTCCGATGGCGTGAGAGGTCAGAAGTTCCGGAAGCTGCACATGCCATCTCTGCTGAAACCAGGATCCATAGTCACTATAGTCACTGGAAGCAAAAATTCAGAACGCTACAAGAACTTGCACAAGAATCTTTAGGCGACAGGCCCGGCTGTGGGGCCATGAAATGCCCGGCGCATGCCCAAATCGCAGTGGTCATGGTTGGGACTTCCCAAAAAAACACCATATTTCGTTCACTCTGAGACTTAGAGCTTCAAAGGCTCGTCGAGCGTCGCAAAGGATCTACTTGCCTTTGACGTAGAGCTTATCTCGAAATGTAGTAGCACTCACATTGCACAAACCCTGGACGCATGAAGACCACTTGGAAGTCCTTGCAGGCACTGCCCTCAAACTGAGGAGCTGGTTCCGTGACGATTTGCCGGTTTGCAAACTGAAAACCACAGTTTAAATCCGATCTCAGAGAGAGCACATGATGATGAAGCCGAAGCCGACGCTGCTCGTGAGTCCGACAGCTGAGACGGTGATGGGTGCACCTGGGCACATGTAAGTTTAGCATGGGGTCCTCCCAAGCATAGAAATCTAGAAGACTGGTGCATACTGGTGACTGGTGCGGAATGCTTAGGCCGGTCGTAGCCCTTGAGATATTTGACGCAAGAGAGGTCTGACCCTCAGATGAGCCAAAAACCGAGCTCCAACTGCTGGCTATCGCATTTCGCGGCGAGCTGCAGCTGGCCAACACGCAGAAGGCCGCCAGGAAGTACAACCTGGGAAGTGGGGTCCGGCCCGGTCTGCATTTCCACTCAAAGCTTGAGGCCTCACCGGGCTTGGAAGCTGTTCGGTCCCTTGTCGAGAGGTAGTTATAGATAGGCTATCGACAGATAGATAGGCTGCACCAGGCACATATGAGTAGACTCCAGACCGACAGATAGGCACGTTTGCATTGCAGAATACTCGCATGCACACTCACAAACACACACACACACACACACACACACACACACACACACACACAGACACACACACACACACACACACACACACACACACACCCCTACCTACACACCTACCTACCTGCTGAACTTACCCACCTACAGTGTTAAACCTACAGTGTTAAAGATACACCAGCCCCGAAAGACTGGCAGCTTGAAACTCCCTAGAGCACCCTCTGAGTCCAGGGTCCGTTGCGAGGGAAGCATTTTATCTTACTAGGCGATGCACCCTGGACTCAAAAGATCTGGGACGTCAACTCTATAGCCCCAAAAACTCCTCGTGCCTGACACTCCCTAGTCGTCCATAGTTCAAGCTAACAGGACATGCAAGACACATCTTCGAAGCGAGTTTCCCGTGTGATAACGGTTGAAAATTAAAACGGTTGAACGACAATAAGTTCTACAAGCCTGCCGGAATTCATCAACTCCTGCCTATTCTGGACATTCGAGAAGGTGGTTGAGTGTCTGAATAGCCAGCTGGCACGCATGGACGAAGTCTTTGAAAGAGATTCGATGCAGCGGTCGTCCGCTCCCGGGCATTGCGGCTGTGCATGCCGCTGGCTGCAAACCTTGTGTCGTGAGGAAGCTCGGGCCCTCGGGATTCGATACCTTTGATTCGGAGGCTCAGGGCCTGAACCCAACAACCCCAGCGCAAACCCTACGACTTCTTTGGGGTTCCAGGATTGACTCGGACTCGGGAGTCACATCCAGCTGCTACGCGAAGTCCACGGCTGCGAGACTGATCCCCACGCCTTGTGCCTGTTTGGGCCTAGCGTGCTTTCCCAAAAACTTGCTAGCCAGGCCTTCGCACCCTCGCTAAACCACGAAGCTCGAAGCATATCACAGCGCACTGCACGCGTGCCACATAATAAGCTGATGTTGCTGCCATTTTCGGTTGTTTGTAATGCTTGTTTGTTCCTTTCTGACGCTGTCGCTGCTGGTGGTGACGATTGGCTTTCTACCGGATTAGCTGCTGTTTTGTGTTCTTCGGACCGTCTTTGTCTACTGTTCCTTCTGAGTCCCGTCACGTTGTGTTGGGAACCGCTGGTTGGGGTTCAAGCCTTTGTGGAATGGCGAGAACTCGCGCTGCTGCCTCCTTTCGGCTTTGCCGGAAGTTGCGAAATTGCGAATCAATCCTGCTTTGCGGCCGTTTGGGTACTACCTACCTCGGCGTGTGCACGAATTCCTGGCCCTGAGGTCCTGGGTTAACGCGAAAGCTGAGACCAATGTTGGGCCGCGCGCCCCAAATATGCACCACACCATAGCAAAAGCCGGGACCGGGGAACGTGTTTTCCGCCGTGCGTGGGCGTGCCGTCTGCAGGCGAAGTCGCTTTGCCGCTGACGCATGGTGTGCACGACGTTTGCGTGCTGCATCGTGACGAAGCGATAGTTGATCCATGAATCCATGACTACATCTTCATTGTTACCACCATTGTCTTTAAACTGCTTTGACAAATCTCAAACCTGTTCAACATTTTCGTGTTTCACACCATTGCCATTGTTAGCAGTGCATCTTGGTCAACATGGCCAACAATGAAACACAGCATCAACATCAAGCATCAAACTCATCAGTTCTGCCAGGATCACCATCCCCCACCATTGGACGTCACCTGACTTGCCAACTCACCATGTTTGTCACCACAACGGTGTCTTCCAGAAGACAAGCATCACCATGATCATAGATGTCATCTTTGAGCCACCCAAACACTCCACTCTGGGGAAAGGACTCTTTAAAATCGTCCATGATCTTGGCTTGCGACTGGTTGGCCATGTCCAACCTGGTTCTTGGAGCTGTAGGTGCTCAGGTGATTGACGCAATGAGTGTTCGTGGCAAACAGAGCAGAAATGGGTTGTAGTTTTGAGGCTCCAATCAAAAGCTTAGGAGTACGAACTTCTTTCATGCATGGCAAGGACAGGGAGCTGTTAAGCTGAATTGAAAAGGCTTTGCGCTTGGGCTCGCCATCGTGGTGTTGAGCGGTGCTAGCTGCTAGTGTTCGTGTTCTGCGTAGTAGCGGACCTCTGGTGGCAGCAGTTAGTTCATCTGCATCAGGGAGTGAGCCTCAAAGGCCATCTGCTCATGCTTCGACACCGAAGGCCCAGAGGGCTCCTTGAAAACCTGCAAACTCAAAGGCCCCGTCACGCAAGCGCTTCGTTCTCGCTCAAGGCGCATCGTCGGAGGCTTCTTCTTGGGAGGCCGAAGCTCGAGAGCATGAGCTTCCCCGGGTAACGGGACGATGTGGGACAGCTCCTGCAGGCAAGGCAGAAAGGCGACTTGACGAATTCGACATGTGGAGCTGAGAAGTGTGACCAACAATACGTAACAGCAGAAACAAAAGCGAAGCACGGCAATGTAGTGTCATGCAGTGCGATTTGGTGAAACTCAAGAAAAGGGCACATGGCATTGTTCCGAAAGGTGCGTGCTAGAAATTGTCAGCAACTCCTGCTTGTACTAACCACGAGTACTGGGACGTGTAAAGATGTTGGGCTGGTTAGCCCTCCTCCGCAGCTGCCATCTGCAGCGATCGCTGTCAGACAAACATTGTAGTATGAGGGTGGTAGTCATGTCTGGCTAGCAGAGCCGCAGCGGTGATGTTACAATTACATATAGGGCTTTGGTATGAGCGAATTGGCGGCAATGGGATCCGCGTCTTTGAATAGAATGCCAAGGCTCAAAAAGCGATCCTTCGCTACATTCTGGGGTCTTCATCGCCTCCACAGCCTTTCAGAAATCCTGATCTATCGTATCGAGAAGCGCTATCAGATCAGCGTGTACCCTATCCATCTTGGACGTGTTGGTGCAACCACTTGCGCCTTAAGTATGCCACAACTTTTGCCGCGTCTCTAATGCATACATGCATGCTTGCATATTCACTCACATACACGTCAAACCACGCCTTACCTGACTTGAACGCATTTACCGTATCTTCTCTGTCCATGCAGTGCTCTTGCCCTACCTGACGTTACAGCAATTTGTTTCAGATATACGCAACGATCTAACTGCACGACATGGCATTGCAGGCATGTGTAAACACACGGATGCACACACCTACAAACACACACGCCCGCCCGCTAGTCATATGCTCGTGCACACACAAATATGTACATGTATATATATATATATATATATATATGTACAAAACCTACACACGAGCATGAACATATGAGTAGATAAACACATAGACATGTTCATACCCTTACATACATACATGCGGCACATGCATACACACATGTATACATACAGACATGCATGCATGCAGACAAACGTGCATACTTGCATGTTATACATGTAACAGGTACATGTACTGCATACAGACATACATACATGCATGCAGCCATACATACATACAAACCATAGATACACACGTACATGCATGCATGGATACAAAAGAACTCATACATGTCAGACACGATAGGCACGCACAAATCTTACATACATGCACACGTGCATATGTGCATTAGCACACATAAACATCTACATCTACCTATACAGATCCATATGCACACACACAGATATTTCTATATATGTATGTATACATACATATATACACACACAGCCAATCATACATAACCGATGAGACAATCGTGCAAAATCAAACACGAAAACAGATACATACGCAAGTACATAGATACACAATCATGCATAACTACGCACACACGCATGTACACACATGCATACATACATATATATACATGCATGCATACTTCGCCATAAGTAGAAAAACATACTATACTTTCAATGCATGCATGTGCACAGGCTTGCTCCTAGACACGACACCTCCACACGCCAGCATCCATGCATGGCATGCACGAGATGCCAGGGACATGGAAAAAGATGTGACACATCAGAGTCTTTCTACATGTATCTCTTGGGACTACGAGCTGTATGAGCTTGTTCTTTCGCACATGCAAAGCTATCCATGGCAAGCTCTGGAAGCAACTAAAGGAAGTCGAGCATTGGAAGTGGGAAGGAGCAGGAAGTGCGATGTACGCCGAAGATGTTTTCTGTCGGAACCAAGCAGGCAACATAAAGATACAGAAGCGTGAAGGAGCACAAAGACTCGCGTGTAAAAACGACTTCGGGTCAGGGGATCACCGCCGTACTGAGACAAGACGGGCGTTTAGGAGCTGCATCTCCAGGACTCCTCTTCCTGCGGCGTGGGACTCGCGAGCCGCTCTATCTCCCGGTCCTCCAAAGCTTGAGACTTGGGACAAGAGTCCCTGCACTCGGGTATGAGCAAGCTTTCATTCGGTACATCTGAACCCTTGATGTTAGCCGACGGTCTTGGATTCATACCTGACGCCTATACGGGAATTCTATAGCCGGCAGGCATGATGGCCGTAATCTCGCATAATGGTTCGCAAAGGAAAGCCTGAAAGGAAGCCTAATCTCTGAACCCCGGGACCCTGAACAGTTAAGTTAAATTAGCTCTATCTTCCTACGCTGCTGGAAAGGTCCACGTTTCAACCCTGCAGAAAACGGAAACGAGGTGGACAAAGACATGAAAACATGCGGATGTATACGACGAAGTCAAGGGTCATCATGTTCGTGTACAACAACAAGCAAGAGACACGCTAAAAGCCCGTCTGCCGAATCTTGCGAGATTGACTAAATTACAACTTCAGACTCACATGCAAATGTTCAGAACTGAAGTCGCCAAAGACAGCACTCACAGTATACTATAACTGGTAACGATAGGAAAACAGGACACGAAGATGTTGAGGCTGCGCATTCTGACAACGCTTCCCGAGCCAGCCCGGAAGCCTTCACCTCTGCGGCTCTACTCTCTCCGTCGTGACACGAACACGACGGACACAGAACACCAACTGCGAAGGGCCGTGAGACCCTGCAAGCACACACCCGAAATTGTCGTGAAGTCCACATCGCAAGGACGAAGACTGACGCACAAAATTTTAGCCAGAGGTGCCCGCAACTTCTCCTCCTCATTGTCGGACACCTCCAAGCCACTCAGGCACGGAGGTGTGGCTTCAATTGAAATTCGGAATAGGTTGGCCTGGTGATTAGGATGGCGGGGCGGCGGGGTAGATTCGGGTAGATAGGCTCAAGGAATGGCATTTCGCAATCTATGCAACCCGCGATCTACACGACAGAGCCTCCCAGTATGCTTAGGAGGTTCACCTGGCGCTCCTTGCAAAAGCTCGGGGGCAAGCCACACTATCCACACGTCGCATGGACTCTTTCAGAGGACCAAGGGTGTAGCAAGCCAACCGAGTCATAAAATGCAGCCAACTCTTGGGCCTTGTGGCCTAGGTTTGAGCCGCCATCGCCTTTGGGG